TCCACGAGTTGATGCTTGAGTTGAAAGTGAGTGATCTGACAAAGAACTCAATTATTATCGACTTCGCGATCACCACCAGTCCCTCCATCGACGTCTCGGAGATAATATTAGACGCCATTCTTCAGAATCAAAAAGTCAGCGAAGATTTTCCCGAAAAAGTTAATTTACTTTTAATCAAAATTCGTTCAATTATTTCCGATTTAAGTAAAGAATTTGATAACAAATCGATATCTTTCTCAACATATTTGACACAATTTGTAGAGAAAGAGAATTTCTGGGATTCAAATGCATTGAGAGAACAGAAACTGAATGAAAAACAGCTGAAAATCGCTTTTGAAGATCTGAATAAACATATCACAGAATTGGACTCAAAAGACGACAACTTTGAGCCAACCATTCAGTCGCCGATCTTTAACGCGAAGGACTCGAAGCGAACAAACGTTTTGTTTGAAAAGTTGCTGCGATTGTGTCCGTCCGGGAAATACCAATATTTGAAAGTTTTGTTTTATTACGATCCACGAGTTGATGCTTGAGTTGAAAGTGAGTGATCTGACAAAGAACTCAATTATTATCGACTTCGCGATCACCACCAGTCCCTCCATCGACGTCTCGGAGATAATATTAGACGCCATTCTTCAGAACCAAAAAGTCAGCGAAGATTTTCCCGAAAAAGTTAATTTACTTTTAATCAAAATTCGTTCAATTATTTCCGATTTAAGTAAAGAATTTGATAACAAATCGATAGCTTTCTCAACATATTTGACACAATTTGTAGAGAAAGAGAATTTCTGGGATTCAAATGCTTTGAGAGAACAGAAACTGAATGAAAAACAGCTGAAAATCGCTTTTGAAGATCTGAATAAACATATCACAGAATTGGACTCAAAAGACGACAACTTCTTAGAGCCAACCATTCAGTCGCCGATCTTTAACGCGAAGGACTCGAAGCGAACAAACGTTTTGTTTGAAAAGTTGCTGCGATTGTGTCCGTCCGGGAAATACCAATATTTGAAAGTTTTGTTTTATTACGTCCGCAAAGTCAGCAAAACGTTGAATGAGTGCCGCAAACGAAACAATTCTCCCATTTTAGGCTATACTGACTCATCGTATTTCTCGATCTTACGACAGAGTCCGTCAGCCATCCTGTGCTCAATGGTCTTGAAAGACAACGTCTCTCCTAAACTGGTCGACGACTTTGCCCAAGAAATGAAAGTCGATTTGATCGGAACCCTATCATCTCTATTGTGTCCCAAAATCCCGTCTCATCTGCAAAACGATTTCCCAATAAATGAGTTCGTTTTGACCGAATCTTGTCATCCGGCGCTCTGCGAACTCATTGAACTCTACTTAAGAGGTGACAAACAGTCCACTCATGAGTTGAGTTCACTTTTGATTCAAAACCATTTTGAAGAAGAAGATAATGAGTCAATGAATGAGTCGTTTATTGAGGGAAAGGTGCGAAACCCGGAACTAATCAATTATTTCAATAATCGGAGTCCGATATTAGTAGAGCTCATGAAACTGTTGAGACTTCTTAAGGACGACATCAAAACCAACTCTGACTTTAGATTTAAACCCAATTCTCCGCTTTTAAAGTGGATTGAAATCATAAAAAGCAAGTTCGGATGCGGATCTCCCTCAGACACCACTGCCGTTATATCTCTGGCTCTCTGTCCGCGCATTACTTGCAGTAATAGTGTTGTGATTAAGGCGTTAGAACATCACGCCATCAAAGCAGACCTTCTGGAGATCTATGATATCTTCAAATACATTGAAACCATTAATACATCAAATTCTTCGTTCTCTTCGAGTAGTTCTTCGTTCAAAACGTTACGAAACGCTATTCTCTCGCGTTTAGCACTCGAACAGCAGGAGTTGAAATATCCGCTTCAGATCATCGACGACCCCAACACCAAATGCGAGGTCTTCATCGAATTGGTCGAAGAGTCGCAAGAGTTCGACGCCTCATATGTAGCCATAAGAGCTCTCAAATCCTGTTCGGCCAGTTTGGCCAATGAGTTGCAGTCGCAGGACATGACTCCATTCAAAGCCAAACTGAACGCTAAGATCAATGAAATAGATTTCTACTCAAAGATCGGTCAGTTGACTGGTTTGCACTCTTGGAAAGACGCCAAACACAATCTCAATGGCATTGATATCCTCACCATTCTTAAGACTAAACGCAAGTACGCTATGGCTATCGAGTGGTTTAACATACAGGGCTGGGAAGCTGTCACCTCTGACCTCCAGTTTGAGCTTTTAGTGCTCGCTTATTGCGAACAAAAACAATTATCTCATTTGACACAACTATTGCTAACAACAGAACAAATTGAAGTGAATGTCCTCTCATTGTTGGGAAAAGTCTTAAATAATGTCTCAGATTTTGATTTAAGAGTTTTCTTGATTGAGTTTATTTTAAAACATTTTATTAATCGATTGAATGACGAGACAATTGAATATTACAAGAACTATATGATTGGAATTGAACTCATAAAAGGTCTCAACACTAAAGTACAAAACAATTACATTAATATAATCGCCAAACCGATGCTAATTGTGGAGCAAATGCTGATGAACTTGGAGTACGAGTCCTTGGAATCGGCCACAAAGACATTAAATTTCGATCATTTGCTCGAATCATATGCACAAAAGGCTGTAGAAATTCAGATATACGACATGCCATCGACTGGTGCTTCCGGTATGTCATGAAACTTTACTTACTTTTAGTTTTATCCACTGATTGTCTATACATTAATTACAGTCATATCAGATGCGACACTGATTTCATCGACATTTTTGGACAGTAAGACTTCACCGAAAATGTTTCTGATGCCAGAGTCTGTTCCAACCAAAGACCAGTGGATTCCTGACTCTAATGTCACGCATTGTATGCTTTGTAAATATGAGATCTTCTCAATGGTAAGACTGTCTTCACTCGTATCCATACAGCAATTGTTTACTAATACAGACTTCTTGTATATATGCCAACAGTTGAACCGAAGACATCACTGTAGACGCTGTGGACGAGTAGTTTGTGGCAATTGTTCCCAAAATAGTCTACTTATTCGTGAAATCAAAAGCAACGCTTTAGTCCGAGTCTGTGATGAATGTTATGTTCAAACGCAGCGAAATAGTCGAAAGGAAAGCATAAGCAGTGAGTCTTCAAGTCTGAACAGATCTATGGTTTGGGTCTTAACTTCGGATGAATTACACAACGACTCGATTCGTATGGAATTCTATTACGACTCGTCTCCGAGCGTCACATTATGTCTCACTTTACTTAGACTCCACTCCGATAAGAGCCGGTGTTGTAAAGTGATTGTAGACATGATTTGTCGTCCATTAATTGAATTCGTATGGAATTCTATTACGACTCGTCTCCGAGCGTCACATTATGTCTCACTTTACTTAGACTCCACTCCGATAAGAGCCGGTGTTGTAAAGTGATTGTAGACATGATTTGTCGTCCATTAATTGACACGGGTAAGTGTTAGACTGTTTTTATTATTCAAATAATGTATTGATTAGCAAATGAATACTATTTCCACAACTTGTTATATTAATCTGATATAAACTATACTCTATTTATTGTCTCTATTAGTGGTGTCCAGTCAAGTAGATAACGGTTTAGTGATTGGAATGATTCGATCACTTCTGGTGTCCACCAGAATATCAATCGAAGAGCAAAAACCTGAACTCAAAGAGAATCTTAACTTTCTATTGGATCGGTTGGATGTGATCCGGATGTTGATTAACTCGAATTGCATCACAAAAGAGTTGATATCTTATGCGCTCTCCAGTAATGACAACGCGATTCTCAAACTACAGGAAAGACTCGTTAATATGGAAAGGTTTGAATTGAGCCTGGATTTAGCCACAAAGTTTGGACTCGACTCCAAATCCATATTCAAGACGTGGGCCTTTCAGTGCCTAAAGCGCTCCCAGTTCTCAGAGGCCAGGGATAAGTTTAGACACGTTTTCGATAAAAAGACAACTGAAGTGAATAGAGATCTCGAGAATATTGTGAATGTTTTGTCGAAACGAAAGTATTGGTCCAATAGTTCTGTTCGGGAAAAGTGTTTACAACTAACTAAAGGAAAATTCAATCAAAACGATACCAACGCTTCGGTATTCTATACGGATTCTAATGATTTGCAATCAAAGAATCCGAAGATCTTCGCAGAAATCATGTATTATCTTAAGGAATACGGATCTAATGAGGAGATAATTAAATTCTATATAAAACAGTCAATGTTTAGACACGCGATCCAACTGTTCCTCAATTACAGCAATTCCTATTCCAACAGCTTTTTTATGAAAGAATTATTCATGTCTTCCGTCCGAAAGGGGTTTCTCTCAGCATTTCTCAGGGAATTAAAGACTTGTGATCCGAGTCTGAACCGCATCTGGAGATACCTGTTGGCCGCCTGTAAGTACTTGAGCTCTAACGACATGTTCAATGTGTTACATGTGGTGCAAGTGTTTATGGGCGACCACTTGCGGGCAGCCATTACTCAAATCAATTGCTTCTTCTTGAGTCCCCCTGCGGTTGATTACATGGAACTGAATGCACGCATAGAGTGTCTCCAAACAGCTAAACAACACTGCAATGACTTTCTTAATTTGAATCCCAATGACTACCGAACCGGTTGTCTCATTATGGAAAGGGAGGACGTTATGAAACAAATCCGAGCTTTGAATATACAAATTGATATCACAATCAGATTTAGCGAAAAGAGAATTAAAGGATTTTTACTCAATGATGTCATCTCACCCAATGATCCGGGAAAGGGATACAACAGTCCGCCCACTATTCTCGACCACAATAAAGCCCGCAAAACAGAGTTAACAGCGTTGACGGCCATCTCTTACGGATCACAAATTGCTGAGGGATTCAGTATTTCTCAAATGATTATTAAAGTAATATTGTTTATACTTTTTAAAAACCTATTTGTATTGAAAATATTTCTCTCTTTCAAAGGACCATAACTTGGATTCAGCACAAGTGTATCGACTGGCGGGTCGGGCTCTAGTGTTGGCCCCAAATGTCAAAATAGAAGTGGTTTCGCAACTATTAGAGTGCATTCGCGCCTCAAATACCGGAGACACCACTCTCTGCGATGATGTGATCGGGGCCTGTATTCGTAGCGCATACGACCCGTCATTAATTGATCCGTTGATTAAACTGCTGTCCAATGATGTGAACAAATTCGACGCCTTTATCCGTAACGACAAACTAAAATCAGCCTATTTTTTGGCCCATAAGAAGAACAGCATCACTGATGTGACCCGAGTTCTGGAGGCGTCTAAACGGCTGAACAACGCGGCTATGACTACGATATGCAACCGATGGCTCAAAGCCCAGGCCAAGACCAGAGGCCAACACTCGCCAACTGATGATTAGTTTGTTATTATTAAGTAATACGACATGTTTTATATGAGTTTATTTAGAAATAGAAATAATTTATATTTTTATAGCAATATATTGTTATGAATGTTGAGTATTGAATCACAGGAGAGATTCGGCGTTCTCTGAAACGGCTCTTTTGAATTGAGTTTTCATATTATTCTTTATATAATCTATGGATATATTTATAAATTGTTACTAAACTAAAATTTAAGTTTTAATTTTAAGTAAACTTTTACTCAAATCAAAGTCTTTTCCAATGAAGAAACTATCGTTGAATTGTTGTATCCCTAATGAGTACCACAAAAGTGTTTTGAAATGTAAGAGATTTAGTGACGGCTCTGATTCGGAATCCGGTTTAGAATTGTCGTCCGTTTTCGATGATGTCTTCATATGCAGAGACAACAGGTTCACAGCGGCTCTGATTCGCTCCCAAAGATCTGGTTCTCTATTCAAGTAAAGCAATAATAGTTTAATCATTCATTCATCGCTAATGAAATATGAATTCAATGATTGCCTGCAATCGCAAAGATGTAAAACGATTAGCAAATGCAAAGTCGTCGGTCCCTCCGGTGCCGTGAATTCAATCGCTTTTAACAAATCGACAAATACTGACGATTTCAGTGTTTTTGATGCTTTAATGCGAATGTAATTCAATTTTAGTAAGTATTGAATATACAGTAAATAATTTCTAGTACTGTATTTTCAATACATACAGCTATCAAAGCCCAGTAATTCTGCCAAATGTTTTGTCGATTCAATTGGTCTGATTTGGCCCTTTTCCTACATTAAACACATTTAGACATCAATTACATGGAAACAGAGTTGAAATAATGGTTACTTCGATATTATTGATGCATTTCTCGACAAACCCGCAGAAAGTCTCGTAAACGTATCTCTTTTGCTGCGCGACATCACTGGTCAGAGCTATTTGTGGAGTCGTTTTCGTGGCCTCAAAGGGGTTGCGAATGACTCCACTCAACGGCAATCGCTTGACATTTGAATTCTCGTCATTCGTTGTCTTCTTTATGATTTCTTTCGGCGTTTTTGTCATTTTTGGCAATACTTTTGGTATATAAAAGTCCGGAACATTAGTCGTGTGATCTTTAAATTGCTTTTCATTAGTGGCTAATTTTAATACCAAAATATATACACTTTATACCAAAATCCTCTCCGATTCCAAAATAATTGGCGTTAAAAATTGGGGCCAATTTCGGGACTTTTATTCTTTTGCTTAAAGAACTTCCGGACATCGATTCGCTTGAGTTCTCTCTCGCCATTCGGTAACAAACTTTCAATAGTTTGATACAAACAGGACTCCGGAATATTCTGATCTCATTGCTATGAAAAGCAAAAAAACATATTTTCAACAGAAATGACAAAATTCTAGTGAATATAAGATCTAAAGAACGGACGCAAAGCCCATAAACATAACGTCGTCGAAGGCATAGAAGGACTGAAGGACTCCTAACTCTTCGCACATCACTTTCTGGACATTGTCTGCATAGAGTCGAGGGTTTCGTTTTTCCTCTTCGTTTGGCAAATAGGGCTCTAATTTGATTATTTCACAACTCGTCCACAATTGAGTCAATGAATAGAAGGCTATTTTGATGGCACCGGGACCCTCTTCCACCCATGAGGTCATGTCGTGGTCTTCATACAAAGAGGCGTTAAATTTTATTTGTTAAATAACTGCTTATTAATAATCAATTACTTCCGACACCCCATTTGATGACCACTGGTTGGACGGGCAGTGATGGCAGGAATGCTCCCATTTTGAACTGAATCAGAGCCTTTCTGTTAGTACAGGTGCCCTCAGGGAACAGCATTATATATTAGTCGTGTGATCTTTAAATTGCTTTTCATTAGTGGCTAATTTTAATACCAAAATATATACACTTTATACCAAAATCCTCTCCGATTCCAAAATAATTGGCGTTAAAAATTGGGGCCAATTTCGGGGCTTTTATTCTTTTGCTTAAAGAACTTCCGGACATCGATTCGCTTGAGTTCTCTCTCGCCATTCGGTAACAAACTTTCAAAAGTTTGATACAAACAGGACTCCGGAATATTCTGATCTCATTGCTATGAAAAGTAAAAAAAACATATTTTCAACAGAAATGACAAAATTCTAGTGAATATAAGATATAGAGAACGGACGCAAAGCCCATAAACATAACGTCGTCGAAGGCATAGAAGGACTGAAGGACTCCTAGCTCTTCGCACATCACTTTCTGGACATTGTCTGCATAGAGTCGAGGGTTTCGTTTTTCCTCTTCGTTTGGCAAATAGGGCTCTAATTTGATTATTTCACAACTCGTCCACAATTCAGTCAATGAATAGAAGAGTATTTTGATGGCACCGGGACCCTCTTCCACCCATGAGGTCATGTCGTGGTCTTCATACAAAGAGGCGTTAAATTTTATTTGTTAAATAACTGCTTATTAATAAACAATTACTTCCGACACCCCATTTGATGACCACTGGTTGGACGGGCAGTGATGGCAGGAATGCTCCCATTTTGAACTGAATCAGAGCCTTTCTGTTAGTACAGGTGCCCTCAGGGAACAGCATTATATTGCCGACAGAGGCCCGCATTTTGATGTCATTCGTCGCCTTTAGACGCGAGTCCTTGTCTTCTCGGTTGACATACACCGGATCGCAGAGATTGATAATACCTTACCGACCAGTCATTCAAAGTTAGTATAATATTCAACATTACAATTATTGTATAAACACTACTGACTGCCAATAAAAGGGACTTTTGAGTTTTCAATTCGTGAGACAATAGCCGGGACCCCGAGCTTTAACATTGCGATTGTATCCCAAAAGGTCGAGTGCGGAGCGATTGGGATAATAGTGGGTTTGATCCCCTTTTTGGTACTCTTTTCGGTGACTCTAACCCAATAGAAACCGCTGAAGAATAGGGCGCACCGAAGGAATCCAAACACTATATATTTTGCAACTTTTCTAAATTCAGTTTAAAATGGTTTATACATTATTAATATATTAAATTAAATGCATTTCTAATCAAACTTCATTGAAATGTTGGGAATTCCTATTAAATTCAACAAATTGATAGAATTTGAGAAAATAGAGGCCAGAAGTCCGGCTATTGCTATACACAATAGCATCGGAATAATCCTAACTAAGAATAGTATTGAACCAAAACCATAGATCTAACGAGAGATTAGGTGTTATTTTATAACATAATTATGATATTTACTGAATGAGTGATACCTTCAAGTAATCAAAGGATGAGAATTTTGGTTTATTAATGAATGGATTGACACATATTTTGTTGAGAGGAGTGTTGAGTATATTCTGTGCTATATTTCCAATTGATTTGATTCTGACAATTGGTTTAAAGTCTGATTGCTTTTTATTGTCCATTATGTGGGATCACTTGGAATCAGTTAATTAATTACAAAACAAATTTATTTGAATTTAATCTCTTAGAAACAGTTTATATTAAAACTATAAAACAATAAAAATAGTCACGAATTGATTACAAAATTAATTGTTTAAACAGCAAACAATATTTCTATATAAAATATAATTATTTACAGCTTAGATTTCCTAAACAATTTGTAGATATGATATCCAGATGCATATCAAACGGTAAAAATTCTTTACACAGTCAGTCGTATAATCAATGAGTTTTCATCAATGATTTATTGTGTCTTAACATCAGCCAAAGTTTTAATAGTTATTTCAGACTTTAATTTTTCAACTTTAACGGGAGTTTTACAGAAAAATCCTAAAACTTTTTGTTTTGTAAGCAAATTGAATCCATTGTCCGAAAACTCACCGATTATATCGGACTCTAAAGTAAAATCCAACCAAACAAAGAGTGCAATACTATCCGTCTCTAAGACGATGTCATAGACATAATTTGGAAGAAAATTGTGCGGACCTGTGATCTGAGTTACCTTTAGATTCGGGATTTTAATGCCAATTGAGTCCCGCAATAGACTTAAGAAAAGGAAATTATTTGCCCGCAAACTGTACGCTTGATTATTCTGAAGAATGGCGTCTAATATTATCTCCGAGACGTCGATGGAGGGACTGGTGGTGATCGCGAAGTCGATAATAATTGAGTTCTTTGTCAGATCACTCACTTTCAACTCAAGCATCAACTCGTGGATCAGTGACTGGATTTGCGTTGTCCGTAGGCCTGAAGCCGCGATTTCACCTATTTTTGATGCATTCGGCGATTTCTGTGGAGCAGACAAAGCCTTCAACTTTGCACTCAATTCCTTCCATTTGCCGATTATCTCAAGTTCTTGTACTTCTTCGCTATTCTTCAGCGAGTGATCAAACAGTTTGACCACTTGTTTGGCTCTTTCTATCTGTCCTTCTATTAGTGAATACCTGAGCAGCTGTTTAGGTGACGCCAACATACAAGATATGAGAGAAGAGAATATCTCTTTTGTCTGTCGCTTCTCATTATCACTACCGCTCGCAGAACTCAAACAACTTTTCATATAATCTCTTTCGTCGAGAATATCTTCAGATTCCGGATCCGTTCCGTCGACCAAAGCGTCTAATTTAGTCTTTTTCTTCTCTTGAGTGGAAGAGCTCTTATTAAAAGCCGGTTCAATCACATCTAACCTCCACTGGGCTTCACTCACGTACTTCATTAGTCTTTCAAGTCTTGACTTGCATTCAGACAAGTCATTGATCGATGAATTCAAATGGATTTTTGGCATTTCTTCCGATTTATTATAATTATAGGCGAAGAGAGCCGCCTGACTGTCGATTATTATGTCTTTAAGAATTGCCAACAATTCTGGCACTAATCCATTTGGACACAAGAAATAAGTAGTTCCCAAATGTATGGTTGTCTGACTGGTCTGTGTAGCCATCATTGGCTGAACAAACTCTTTATTAGCGACCGTCTCTTCGGTGTAATCATCTTCATCGGTCTCGTTGTCTATCAATTCATTTTGAGTCAAAAATAGTAAACTGAAAATATTCTCGAGAATTTCGACGCGAAAATTGATTGGATATATCTTTTTAAGAAGAATTGATATCTGATCCCCAAAATTGTCGGTTTCCGACAGAATGATCCACATTATGGTGTGTCTTATGGCAAGGAATCCCCTGTAGATCATAAGCTCGCTTTCATTGGAATCACTGAGGAGTTCGCAGATCTCTTTAACCAAATAGTCTTTGACTTCATTTTTATTGGACAGAAATCCGTATTTTAATAGTATTTTAAGCGGAGATTCGCCTAAAAATAGTGTCTGAAAAATACTGAACCGACTGTGCGTTATGTTTGTGTTTAAATTGGTGTCTATTTTAGTGATACACCATTTCGTGAAGTTTATGATAAATCGCATTCTTTTGACCAAACATTTGACGAGTGAATCCGTTTTACTTAAGGCTTGAATCTCTTCGCAATCAAAGACTAGTTTTTCCATTTGATCTTCAATTTGAAGGAAAGTTTCAATTTTTAGATCTGTTTTATGTAACGAATAGATCATGAAATAGAAGCATTGCTTCGGAGGGAAACCAAAGGCTATGGTCTCGTCATCCAAGAGCTGTTCCATAAAATGCTTCTTATGATTGGCCGCCAATAGGAAACACTCCTTAAAATCAAAACTATGTTTTTCGCAGTCGTATAAGACTTTTCGACTTCGCGTTTGTCTCAAATGAGAGATTGTTTCGACAAGTTTTGGTGTTTGCCTCGTGAGTGCACTTTTGTATAACAAGAACTCATTGTGCGAATCATTGCAATACTGATCACAAACTTGTTCCAGAAGTTTCATATTATTGTCAATCTCTGGATCCGGGAAAACACCCAAAATATCTAATATCAAGTTTTTGTTACCATTTTTCAGTGCATTGATCAAAGACTGGGTATAAATGAAGTCAAAGCTATGTTTGTCTTCAAACAAATCTATCAATAAATTGGCAATTTTAGGCCTTTTTAGTATCAACTCTTTTAAGACATTAACCACTTTATCGCTGATTGAATCACAAGAACTGAGTTTAGAGACACTCAACAAATCGTTCACTTGTTTTGTACTCAAATCGAAATGAGTCCTTAAAATCAGATTAATCTCTAAGTCTTTAGTTGCGACCAAATACTCAAAATTGAATCTTTGGATCATTTGCCTAATGAACCAAATCTTGTCGTTGTTCTCGTAGTTGTCTTTAAAACACGTCAACAGGAAGTCCAAGACTTTCGTCTCCTTCTCCTTGTATTTGGCGTCCGTTTTGTCGCAATTCTTGTCATCACTTGTGTTGAACCAAATGGTGAGCAAAGACTCACACAATTCATACTTCGCCTCATTGGCCGACAACTCAATCTGAGACCAGAGATAATCTTCGGCCGACATGTCCGACGATATCAGAAACGAGAGGTCGGTGTCGGACACCGCGAACCCGTCCATTGGCGAAGACATTTCCGCCATTAATGACACCAATTAAGTGGCAAACAATTGATAAACAAAAATATGAACTCAAAAGACATACATTTCAATCACAGATAACTGTCTAATCGGTGGTAACATCGGAATGACATGTAGTGCACGAGTGATGACACCCTCTCTCACATAATCTCACATTATGGTGATAATGATCAGCAAATAATGACAATTGAAACCGACGTTTAGCCACACATTTAAATGTCATTAAAATATAACTAATTATAAGAAAAGTGTTTTAAATAGAAAGCAAACAAACAAACAGTGAAACCAACTATTGATTGAAACTTCTCTCAAAACACATGAAAATGTTTTTTAATTTTTGTTTTTTAGTTGCATTTCGATTCACATTCAAAGCACTCAACCCCTCGTTATAATGACGTGATTAGTGAACGACTCAATCGGTGTTTGCTTTTTGTGTCAAACGACTGCATGTTTTCAATTCTTTTGAGACCACAAATCAATTCAAAGAAGTGATGACAAGATAATTGTCACGTGAATTGTCCAGTGATAGCGACCATCGATGGCACCCGTAATCCAAAGCGCGCCCAAAGAGCGGCCTAAACGACCGAATGAGAGGAGGTATGTCTTGGAAGCACTTCCAGTCAATTGATTGGCATATTTGATGTCTTGGAAGCACTTCCAGTCAATTGATTGGCATATTTGATGTCTTGGAAGCACTTCCAGTCAATTGATTGGCATATTTGGACACTAATTGAACGGATTGTATGTTTAGGTCAGACCTGGTCTGTCGGGTCAAGTACTGCAACGCTCTGCCGGACATACCCTTTGACCCGAAGTTCATTACCTATCCGTTTGAGACGAATCGGTAGTTATTCTGAAGATATTCTTCCATTTGTTTAGCATTTGATTGAATGGTTGTATTTGTGGTCAGATTTGTGTCATACAAACCGACATCACTGGAGAAGAACTATAAACACGATTTATTGACTGAACACGACTTAGGCGTCACCATAGATCTCATCAATCCTGAGACATATGACCGACAAATCGATGGCAAACTGGCCGATGAGGACGAGAAGCTGTTGGAGGAAGAGGTGGCCACTCCTCAGGACTCGAAGCGCTCGCGTTGTCATAACAAAGCTATCACTTGGCTTAAGAAGACTGAGTACATCTCCACTGAGTTCAACAGATATGGCGCCTCCAGTGATAAGACAGAAACGAAGTCAGTATTGATTGGGTTTTGCATTCAAATGACAATCAATTGATTGAATGGTTTGTGTCATAGAGTGGGCTATAATGTGAAGAAGAAGATGAAAGAGGAGACACTGTATCTGGATCGCGACTCACAGATACTGGCCATCAATAAGACCTTCGAAGCGGCGCAGAAACCCATTACCGACCATCCGGGCAAACCGGGCGTCACGGCTGTGGAGGTGATGCCGGTGTTCCCCGACTTCAAGCTCTGGAAGTACCCGTTCGCTCAGGTGATGTTCGATGCAGACCCGGCGCCCATCACTAAAGTCCAAGAGATGTCTCAGGCGATGATCAGAGGAGTGATGGATGAAAGCGGCGAACAATTCGTGGCTTACTTCCTGCCCACAGAAGACACCATTAATAAGCGAAAGTTCGACGAAGTGGAGGAACGGGAGTACGGGGAGGGCGAGGAGTACGAGTATGTGATGGCCCGCGAGTACAACTGGAACGTCAAGAATAAGGCCACCAAAGGGTACGAAGAGAACTATTTCTTCGTTTGGAGAGACGATTGTGTTTGTTATAACGAATTGGAGACAAGGGTTCGGCTCAGCAAACGGCGCGTCAAACACGGGTCGGCGCCCAACAACTCGAAGCTCGTCGTCAAACACCGACCACTCAATGAACAGGAGTTTAAGACACAAGACATTCGAATGACTCAATTAGAACCGCCTCAGGAGGACGAGGAACCGCCTCAAGACAAGGACACCGCAGCAGCCAATGGGTCGCAGAAAGAGACCACAGATAAGGACATTGAAAGCGACGATAAGCCTGAGGGCCAGAACAAGGGCGAGACCCACAAGTCCAGTGCTAGTGAAAAGTCATCCTCTTCTTCATCGTCGTCTTCATCCTCATCGTCTGAATCATCAGATTCTTCGTCTTCGAGTGACAGCGACAGTGACGATGAGGAGGCGCGCCGTAAGACCAAAGAGAGCGCGGCCGCCATCTTTGGAAGCGATGACAGCGACTAAACATTCATTGACGACAATATGACTTCATTTATAATGTAATTCATATTTACATTTATTAATCATTTATATGTATTTAGTGTTCAATTAAATTGTATGAAAATTATTTTATCTTTTACTCCAAAACTGTCGAGAAATTCATATTCATTTGGTCTTCGAAATAGTGGTTCTGAAGGAAAGAATTAGATATTAATTGACTTTCGTATGGAAAGTACAGTATTTCCGGGAACTCACTGAATGGCCGTCTTTTGAGCGCCAGTGAGCACAACATAAGGCAATTGTAGCTCCTTTTGCTTATCGGTCAACATTTTCAATGTGTTGAGTGGCGTATCCGTTGAACTCATTTGTTGTAATTTCTACACAAATCAATCAAAACATTAGTCTCAACGCAAACACTGTGTGTCCGTCACATACGCTTTGCTGGTCCTTCTTCTTCATGCGTTTGTCGATCTTGTTCTTCGACGGACCCTTTCCGTGGAACTTATGCGACAAATGTCTGAACGCCTCCTTCTGGTCGAGAACCCGTCCCTTTTCGTCCACGTAATCCAATTTGATTTCAGGTCTGTATTCGTTTTTCTCCCGAAAGTCAGACACCGGTCCCGAATACCTCTCCCTTCGACCGATTTTGTCGTCTTCGCTATTGTTTGAAAAATACATTAAAATTATCGATAATTGCAAACAAGAGTTATTTCAATGAATACTAACTAAAACTTCTCTTCAATGGTGTAGGACTGGGACTCGATAGCGCTCTGTCGCGAAGCACTCACTTTCTTCACCTCCTTATCCAAGTATCCCTTTTTCATCGCCAACTGCAGAGCGCCTACCAGTCCTCTGCTGACATCGGGCTCTTCTTCTAGGATAGAGCAATTGTAGCTCCTTTTGCTTATCGGTCAACATTTTCAATGTGTTGAGTGGCGTATCCGTTGAACTCATTTGTTGTAATTTCTACACAAATCAATCAAAACATTAGTCTCAACGCAAACACTGTGTCCGTCACATACGCTTTGCTGGTCCTTCTTCTTCATGCGTTTGTCGATCTTGTTCTTCGACGGACCCTTTCCGTGGAACTTATGCGACAAATGTCTGAACGCCTCCTTCTGGTCGAGAACGCGTCCCTTCTCGTCCACGTAATCCAATTTGATTTCAGGTCTGTATTCGTTTTTCTCCCTAAAGTCAGACACCGGTCCCGAATACCTCTCCCTTCGACCGATTTTGTCGTCTTCGCTATTGTTTGAAAAATACATTAAAATTATCGATAATTGCAAACAAAGAGTTATTTCAATGAATACTAACTAAAACTTCTCTTCAATGGTGTAGGACTGAGACTCGATAGCGCTCTGTCGCGAAGCACTCACTTTCTTCACCTCCTTATCCAAGTATCCCTTTTTCATCGCCAACTGCAGAGCGCCTACCAGTCCTCTGCTGACATCGGGCTCTTCTTCTAGGATAGGCTGTCCCTCATTGTCCTCTAAATCCTGTGCGATATCATCCTCTTTAACCTCCACTTCATTCCATTGGCCTCTATTGGGGTCGGAATCATGGGTGGGATTTCGTGTCTCAATCAAAGTCTCTTCCAATTCCATGAGCTCTTCGTCCTCATCCCTATTGCCCGCCAAACCATAGGTCGGGATATCTCCTAAATTACGACAAAACTCTGCCGTAGAGTTCAATATAATGTTATTCGGTATAAGACTCTCTGCATCATTGCTCAGCAGCAAGTGTAGTAACTCGGAGACTTGTCAAAGCCGATGAAAACGTTATGACCGCCGTGGCCATCAGCGGAGGTGTAACGAGGACTCAAATTCAAAGGCTCTGAATACATTTCGGTAAAGGTGTTCTTTGTCGGCTTCCTCTTCCTCTAAGATAATACCACTTAAGTCTTCATCGTTGGGATCAATGAAGTCTTCGTCCACATCCATGGCTGGCAAACGAAGTCCACTCTTGGGAAGCATTACTGGATTGATATCTATTATGACTTCCTCTTTGATTATAGTTTTATCAATTTTGGTGTCATTTGAGTCGATATTCATTTCCTTATCTCTATTGCGACTCTGTCTGGAGCCGTGATCTGTACTGACTGTCAGATCTGTCACTACCTCCTCAGTCGCTTCAATGGCTTTCTTTTTGCGCAAAACTTTGCGAACTTTTTTGGGTTTTTTAAATTTAGTCATCTCTTCTTCGGTGAAGTATTCGCTGGCGATCTTAGGTTTAGTGGTAAACAACGATATCTTTCCCTCTTCTTGTTTCAGTTTCATACGAATCAACTCAATATCATTGGATCGGTTCCCAGGAGTCACTCCCAGACGGAACGCATCCTTCTTCGGGCCCGAAATCTCTTCGTAGAGTCGTCGTTCACATCATTGAGCCTCTGAACAGTTTCGGCTACTTTTGCAATACTGGCGGCACCGGTAGTCGCCTCCACATTGCTCCTGAGTTTAAGTTTCCGAGACTTATGTAAAGCCATTTCCAATTCTTTGTCGGCTTCCTCTTCTTCTAAGATAATACCACTTAAGTCTTTATCGTTGGGATCAATGAAGTCTTCGTCCACATCCATGGCTGGCAAACGAAGTCCACTCTTGGGAAGCATTACTGGATTGATATCTATTAGGACTTCCTCTTTGACTATAGTTTTATCAATTTTGGTGTCATTTGAGTCGATATTCATTTCCTTATCTCTATTGCGACTCTTTCTGGAGCCGTGATCTGTACTGACTGTCAGATCTGTCACTACCTCCTCAGTCGCTTCAATTGCTTTCTTTTTGCGCAAAACTTTGCGAACTTTTTTGGGTTTTTTAAATTTAGTCATCTCTTCTTCGGTGAAGTATTCGCTGGCGATCTTAGGTTTAGTCGTAAACAACGATATCTTTCCCTCTTCTTGTTTCAGTTTCATACGAATCAACTCAATATCATTGGATCGGTTCCCAGGAGTCACTCCCAGACGGAACGCATCCTTCTTCGGGCCCGAAATCTCTTCGT